ATTACTTCCAATGGTTGTGATGGACTGTTAACAGGAAAGTTACAAGTCCTTCTATCTAGATTTTGTAAAAAATTACAAAAATGAATTTGAAGCAACACTGCGTACGTGGACTAATTTGAGCTTTAAAGCAAAAAAAGGTGTAAAAAAGTCAACAGCCTTGATTTAATACCACACACATCTACCACAGTTTACACATTTTTGGACATTTCTTTAAGATGACTAAATTATAATAACACTGAATACACGGTTCTATTTTTTTCTTTCAACCTGCAGGCCGAATGAAAGAAATTGAACTGATTCCTCCATCAATGCTTACGAGTGTTGATCAAAGAATCCCCCATAGTTTCCTTTGTATTCTGAAAGCATCCAGTAGCAAAATACCCGGACCAAGCTAGAAGCTGATTGGCTACTAGCTCCGCTCAGCTCAGAAATTTCCAACCGGCTCCTTCAAACAGATGATCAAGGGATGCCGGGTGGAAAAGTGCCAACTTTGGCATCCACGCAACGAATTTCAGCCGGTTCTTGAATTTAAAGCGTGTATACCCGGCTTTAGTTTGAACTGGTGATAGTGAGATTCTGTGGTGGGCTGAGGAGAAGGGTCTCACTGGATCAGTCAGAGATCATTGGAAGTAGAGAAAACTTCCCGCTCAACCACCGTATTTATTTTGTTAGCGGTTGTCTGTTCACTGTTAAAGCAGCACTAGCGGTTTGGGGTCTTTCGAAGGGGCCAAAATAGTTGCTGGTGGCTATTGTTTGGGGAACTGCCTTGGTATGGTGTCCTCAGTTCATGGCGATATATGGTTGTAACAGGAATCTAGATATTTATGTGTCTGCAGTCAATTTGACGTTTGTCCCTGAGGCAGTGTGGTGAACCATTAAGCAGATTTATTAGTTCCGCAGAGACAACATATCTGTTAATATTTTGGCCTTCAAAGACCTGCAACTTTATTTGGCTTTGTCTTTCCATGTTGAATTTATAATTCTGTTCATTTTAATCATTTGTATAATTAAAAGCTAATATGTCCATTTAACATCATCAGAAGTGTAGTCTGGTTTATTTAGGGAATGGGATGGAGGTTTTGATGGTCTTAGCAGTCTTGACAATAAAGGAAATTGGGGACATCTGTTCTACCTGAGTCAGTAAGTGACATTTTGCATTTTTTTTTGAACCATCACTGCAAGAACAGCTGATTGACTATCTCAACTCTTCCCTTACTTCAGCTTTACAAAATCCCCCTGTTAAAGCTGTGCATGTTGGTAACAGAATGCTCAGGATGTCTTTAAAAGGCGATATGTGGGTGGACAGACAGAAGGACTTTCCGGCAGATTAAGCTACAAAACCTGGACTATATTTCTGGGTCATGTGATTTGTAGAAAGAATATGTCTTATTATGATTTTGCCAATGTTGTGAAACCTTTAAAATAATGTTGGAATTATTCTCTTTCAGGTCACAGGAGTACATTTACTAATGTACTCCTGTAAGCCAAAGTCAGCATGTGGTGGGCTATTGCCCGCTATATGCTGACAGCGCAGAGCCGCACTGCAGCCGGGAAGGATCCCAACAATATTGTTGGGATCCACCCCACTACCTGATCGACAGCTGGCTCTGCCTCTCTAGATCCAGATCCAGCTGTGCCCGCCCCTCCCCTGTCTGTCCATCCAATGACCACTGGAGGAATAAAGCAAGCGGAGGGGGTAAACTCTGCGCGCAGAAGTGAATGACAGTCACCGCCATGAGCTGAGTGATCAGAGGTTCATGATCGTTTAGTTTTCAGAGTTTAGATCTACAGAATCGGCGTGCTGCAGTGTCACACAATGGCTCAAACTATCGAGAAGAGTACATTTAACGCTCCCAATACTTCTCCTTTAAACCTGAACCAGTGACCATAGAAATACGGATGCTACCATTCCTGACTTGTTTTTAAAAGCGACTCTGTCAGCCACACCTGTCCTGCTACTATTTGCTCTTTACCTCTGTCAAAGGATCTTTTTCAACCAACATACTTCCGGATATACTGGATGCCTGGTTCCCCTGCTGAACACTGTGGTTTCTTCTCCTGTCCCCCTATGTCATTACTGTGCCCTGTAGTGATGTAGGGATCAATGGGTAAACCACAGAGTGCAGAGTCGTCTCGTGTTTCTGACACGTCCCTAAGAATCAAATACAGAAGATTCTTCGGACAGTAATAGTTCTGCAGCAGAGTGAAAATCGGTGTTGCAGGCAGCAGGTAAGGTAACACTTTTCTTTTCCAGGCAACATGTTCATTATTTTTTGTAGGCGAGTCATCCTGAACCTGGCTACACTACCTAACAAGTTGCTGACCTGGTGGTGTCATGAGGGAAGAATGGGGGCTAGTATTGCAGGCCTCTGCTGTGTCTGACTTTAGTACTTTTAAGTCATACACCCAGAATAAGCATGCTCTAAATGAGTGTCAGAAAATGGATCTCATAGAGGTGAGAACTACTTCTCTTTATACTTGTTATTGGTCAGCAACGACATCTGGATTGCAGCTAAAACATCAGAATTACAGCCAGGGAAGAAGCATTTACAAAAGAATAGTAAACTATGGCAGCCTGCAATAATCTCTCATGACAGAGCCACATTAACATAGCACTCTGTACTCTGGGGGTGGGGGGATTTATTGAAGGACAGTGCCCATTAAGTAAAGAACAGGTAAGTTGGCACCTGAGAAGAGATCACAGCCCACCCAATATATCCCATGGCGTATATGCCCTCCATATTCTGCATAGCGACACAAGTGAACAACTGCAAAGTACGATAACTAGTACCTGGACAGGAATATTGTTGTTAGTCACCTGCACTCTCGTTGTCACCTTGCAAGATGATGGTGCTTGTAGTGATGACACGGATGGTGCCATGTAGTACCCAATGAAGATTGGATAGTCATCAGCACACGCAATGATGCAATGACCCTGTTTCGATCTATTTAATCGTTGTCTTACAAAGCCAACGTTTCAGGGCCTCACAGGGTCCCTTCCTCAGGGTGACATAGTGATATAACATGGCATGTTGCCCTGAGGAAGGTACCCTACATGGCCCGAAACATTGGCTGTGTAGGACAAATGGCGACGATGATTCAATAAATCAAAAAAGGATTAATGATTCACTGTGTGTGTGCTGGTGTCTATCTGATCTTCAGTGTAGACAAGAAGACATATTGACTACTAAAGTGTGTCTGCTCCACTCTCCGTACAATACACCTAAAAAAAAAAACAGAGAGAAGAGAGCAGTACTGGAGCACGCTTCATTACTCCAGTTATTTCATAGTACTATGCTATCAGAATGACCAAGGAGAGGAATGGTCCTTGGATTTACCCGCCCATGACAATGACCCTGGATAAGTGATACAGACTTACTGCAAATCATTCACTACGGCGGATACCTATTTATATTCTCTATTCTCCACAATGTAAGCTACAGAAAATGTGCGTGACTACCAATAATCTAAAAGAGAATTAAATTACATTATATGCTACTAGTACATTGAATTATGGTATATGATGTATGTGCAAAGCAGTATATAGAAAGATAGGGTTATTGCTGTAATAGTATTTTCTCCTTCAAAAGGTCACTCACATGTCTTAAAGTGACCCTGTCATTAAAAGGTCACTTCTTCACACAAGGCAATTGGCAAAAGAAGAGGCAATATAACTTTCAGTTGCCTGTATGTTGAAAAGCTGTTGCTTCACAGCTCATCGGCCACTGTATATGTTTTAATACTTCTGGGTGTGTAGAATATCTGTTTTCCCCACCCCGCACTGTGGTTCTTCCTGCCAGTTCGAACTTCACGACAGGATGTATGAATTAGCAAGAAGAACTTCAGCGTGTGGCAGGGGTAGCAGGTATTAGACCCACCAACAATGTTAAATATCTGTAGTGGTCCATGAAGCAGCTGCTGGAAAAGTAAGAATATCGCCTCTTCTTTTACATGCCATCTTCTGTGAAGAAGTGACTCTGTGGTCACATGGTCACTTTAAAGAGACTCTGGGGAAGTGTGGCTGTAGATATGAGGTGGAACAGCCTCCTGATCCTTCCTGTGACGTGGCAATATCAGGACGTTCTGACAACGCTTCTGGCCAAAGCATGCCAGTCCTTTCGTACCATCTGCACATTCCTGCTAGCCAAAGAGAAAAGCCATCATTGTGATGAACTGACAGGAGCATTGAAAGCAGGGCTTAGTAGGAAAGACTGACACTACCACTGAAGTGTTGGACCATTGCCTGTCAGTATGGCCCAAGATGCTGCTGTGACAGTAGAGTTTAGGAGGCCAATGTGCAGGCTCCCCTTTACACCTGCAGCAGTTTCCTCCCCAACCCCAGCAAAGTCTCCTAAAATAAACATATGCTAGTTTATCACATGATGTATTAGTGTGTCATAGGCAAGACGTGGAATTGAGCTTTGCTCTGTTAGGAGCATGTACAGATTCTTCTGGAGGAAGGCCCTTAGGGCTCAGACATGGTCTATTAGTGCAGAATGGGG